TTTCAAAAGTGTTTTGGTACTCTTCTCAAACTGTTTTTTTTTCTTTCACTAACAAACTAGTTTCTATTTCAGAAAACATTTTCACTCTTAGAGTCATCTCTATATTGTTTTCACTAAATCTTTCAAACTGTGTCAAGCACTCTCACTTTACTCTTAGATCATTAAGTTTCGCCCCTCTGGTATGCAAACTGCTTAGGGATCCTTGAGATCTCTCTGAACTCTGGCATACAAGGGCTGACCCTTCCACACTGCACATAACCAGTCCCTATTTGAGAAAGGTCTTGGTGTGAGCACTGCCCGGGATCCTTGAGGTCCTTAGGGAACTCTGACACACCTGGACACTTGTTGGCTATGAGATTTCTGGGCATTTGAGACTACTCTAAAGGCCTGGTACTCCCAGGTTTATTTTAGCCTGCTTTAGGCTCTCTATAGTATAAGTTTACTTCTCATTGATGTAATTTACTAAATCCGGGTTTGTGATAATCCTTTGTAAACAGATATTGGGGTAACCAGTAAAAAGTGGAGGGTAGCTATATGATTCTGTGGGGTAAATTGGGCCGAAACCGTGTTTTAGGTTTTACATTATGATGAGTTGCTGTAGAAATCATGTTTTAGGTTTGTATGACGCATTAGATATCATGCTTTAGGATTGCTATGCTTACTCGCATTAAATCATGCAAAAATTCGTGCATTAGATACCTTGACCTAGGACAATCATATTTACTGCTTCTGCATGTCACATGTTGTAGTTCATCATTTCACTTCTGATTCTGCATAAGTCGCTATCACTTAGAAATCCTGCCATTAAGTTACTAATACTGTTTAAAAATAAAATAACCTTCTCCATGTGCATTAGAAATCCTGTTTTAGGACTGCATGTACATCTGCTTTGAAACATGTCACTAAAATAAGTAGGTTAACACAGGCCCACACATAGGTACCATGTTCTGGTGTGAATCAATATAAAATCACCTGCTATATATTCATCACTTAGATCAGCATGCCTATAGGATGAAAGAACTTCAAATTGTTTAAGTGGTTCCCAGATTATGACTGCATCTACACGCCTAGGCAAGCCTTAGGCCGTTAGATAACTGTGAAATCAGGTTCTGTTTATATGTGAAATTGTCCAGGCTTAACAGGCTATAAAACCAGTAGAAAAACTGGTTAGGAGTCTGCCATTTCCCTTAAACAAACGCTGCATGTTCTGTTCTGTAATGTTCATCTAGATATCATGTTCCTAGGCTTTCTGAATTTCTTTAAAAATCAGTTGTTTGAGACGTGTTGCTTATGTTCCCATGTATATGTGGAGGTAAATATGAGCCTTTTATCTGTTTCCTTAATTGACAGTCCTATGTGTTATTTGTTGTCGCCTAGACTTTTGCCTTTTAAACACCTTAGGATTGTCTAGAACTGCCTAAGTCTAGAGGTCCAAAATTCCTCCCTGACCACAAGGAAGGGACGGGTAAATCACGCTTAGAGTTTGTTAAATAAACTCGCGTATAACCACTAAGAAGAGGGTAATGGGTAGTAAAAGGATATGATGACCTGCGCGCTAATGTCACGTGTAGCCCCTCTAGTTGAGGAAGATTACCAGGCATTGCACAGATTGATCCTATAGGCTAACCAACTTAGGACTTCCCTTTCCCAATTCACATGTGTTTAAACTATCTAAACTTCTTCTTATTTACACATATGCGTTTAAACTGTCTAAACCTCCTTGATCACATATGTATTTAGACTGTGTAAACTACCTTTATTTGCAAATATGTGTTGAGACTGCTTATTTGTTAATTGATTAATTCGCATAGTTCGGCCGGGACCCACCATTGTGGACCGCGAGGTGTGCCTAACACCTTCCCCTCAAGGTTATTTCGAGCCCTTACCCTAATATCTGGTAATGCAAACTGGTTACATGAGTTAATTGCTCTAGGTGCCCTAACGCACCTTAATCCGTTAGGTGGCGACTCTTCAAACACCCAATTCCCAAAAGGAAATGAGTTGTTCCCCCCATGAAAGTCGAAACCCGGACTTCCCCGCGAAGGAAAAACGGGGCGCGACAGGAGAACCATAAAACATCTCATAAGGAGATTTTCCATGCAACACAACACCAGGAAGTCTGTTTATGACATATGCTGCACTCAAGATGCAATCACCCCAAAATTTTAGAGGAATGTGAGCTTGGAATCTCAAGGCTCTACTCACTTCAAGTAAGTGTATGTGCTTTCTTTCCACGACTCTATTTTGCTGTGGAGTATGGACACAACTGCTTTGGTGTATGATACCTTAGATTTGAAGAGATTAAAACAAAATGTATTGAAGAATTCATAGCCATTGTCTGATCTGACTGCTTTTATAGTGGTGGAGAACTGATTTTCTACTAGGTTAAGAAAGTCATTCAAGACAATATACACATAACTCTTTAATCTCAAAAGGTAAATCCAAGTCACTCTTGTATAGTCATCAACAAGAGTAAGAAAATATCTAAAGCCATTGAAAGTACATACTCTATAAGGACCCCAAATGTCTATACGTTCAAAAGTAGAAGTAGAATTAGAAGACTACTAGGAAAAGGCAATCTTTGTTTCGCTAAAGGACAGACAATACAATCACAAGAATCTGTTTTTAACAAAAGCTTATTTAAGGTAGGTATTTTTTGTGAGACTAAATAGGGTGCATGACCAAGCCTTTGATGCCACAAAACACTTGATTTATTTTGCACAGAGGTAGACAAACAGGTAGAGTTAGAGGAACCGATAGCAGGTGTTAAAGGGTTGAGAATGTAGAGGCCACCTTGGTATCTACCAATCCCCTTCACCATGCCACTGAAGAGGTCCTGAAAGACACAAAAATCAGGATAAAAGTGAACTGAGTTGTTTAATTCTCGTGTGTATTTGGAAACAGATAGAAGATTATATTGGAATTGAGGTACATAAAGAACGTTATATATTGTCTCTGAGTTAGGCAGAGTACAAGTGCCTATGTGAGTGATTTTAGTACTATACAAGTGCCTATGTGAGTGATTTTAGTACTATCTCCATTAGGTAAATATACTGAGGCAAACTTAAAAGTAGGTGTAGGTGTATGCTAGATAATAGATTCAAGGAAGAAGCCATATGATTTGAAGCCCTAGTATCAATAATCCAACTAGCTTGATCAGTATTCGACTTACCTACCATATTGGCGATCAGTTCTGGTTCTCTTTCCTGGATTAGAATTTTTAGAATTTGCTGATACTGTTCAGCAGTAAATATAGGAGCATTTGGCAAACACATGTTAGGTGGAACCATATTTCCAGGGGGAACATTCTGCATCTCTTCCTTGACATTCACATTATGTGCATCTGCAGTAGGATTGTCATGCACTCCCTTTTTTTATTGTTGAATTTGAAGCCGGGGGGGGGGGGGGGTAGCATCCTATGAGTTTGTAACAGGAGTCCCTTAGGTCTCCCCTCATCTTGCAATAATCAATTGTAGATTAAAATTCTTCCTTGGCCTCATACCATCATTAGCTGCAATTAAGTGACTATTTTCCATCTCCATAGGTGCACTACCTAGAATGCCATTATGTGCCATGAGTCCACTACTCATTATCTGACTTTCCTCCTGAATAAGCATCGAGTATGACTGATCGAGTGAGGGTGTAGGGTGCGTCATCGAAATTTGACTCCTCTGTGGTGCATATGTCTTGTTTAACCCCATTAAGAACTTCACAAGCTTTTGTGTATGCAAAAACTCAACAAAGGTCTTAGATTTTTCACAGTCACAGCCGGGGAAAGGGATAATTGATTCAAATTCGTCCAATAGGCCGTTTAACTTTGAGAAATAGATTGACATACTAGAAATTCCTTGAGTCAAACAACTAATTTCCTTGTCCATGTGGTAAATCTTAAAAGCATTTATCTTATCGAAGCGATTTTTCAGGGTTTCCCAAACCTTCTTAGCATTTGATGAAAACACAATTCCTCGCCTCAATTCCTTCGCAACAGAACTCATAATCCATGATTGTACTATTGCATTGCACCAGTAATCCTCTCGCACACAGGTTCCATTAATGAAACTGATCTTATTCTTCACTAACAGTGACATCTTCATAGACCGACTTCATTCTGAATAATTTTCTGTCCCTATTAACAGTTGCGGAACAAGTGAAACAACAGGTGTATCGGATGAATGAACATACAATCAAGCAATTGATTGTTTGCATGTGATGTACCAGCTGTACTTTGAGGACTATCGATGGCCATTTTGAAAAAGCACAGAGCAAAGGGGAAAAAATAGGGTAAAAAACAGATCAGGTGTCACTTGAGAAGAATACAACAAAGAAGAAGGAGAAACGAAGAATTGAAGAGGAAATTGAAGAATTCAGAGACTCATCAACTCGAACCGCAATGAATCGGGCTCTGATACCATGTAAAAATTTGCCCTAGGTCTGCCATTGATAATGATCGAAACTCACTGAAGAGAATGTTCTAGATAGAGAGAGAAAGAACTGAGAGGAAAAATATCTTTTCTTATTAACAGAAAACTCTACTGAGAAATGACATGTACAAGCATATTTATAAACTTGTTAATTCTAACCTCCACTAACTCTAATGTGACCGACTAACTAACAGTACAACTATCACATAGTTCACTTAACTAATCTTCTAGAACACTACTACTTAAATAGCACAATGTACAATCATTACAAGCTATACATCTCAACAAGATTGTTCTAAAATTAGTCTATATATAACAAATTCCCTATATAAAGGGGTAAAAATCATATACTTCGATAAACTAAAAGTTAAATATATCTAATCGCATATCACAAGGACCAAAATTAAAACTTACCAATAATTGAAGGATTAAAAGGGCTACTATCGCTAATTATATATAATAGACTTCATCAATCTCATGCTAGTGAAACATGTTACATAAAACTAAAGGAAAGATAAATATTTCTCAATAAGGCATGATGAACTTATCAACATATATAAGATATTAAAGTTAGATCTCTTTTTTTCCGGATCATATAAGATAAATGCATAATAATAGTAATTGGGGAGATCAATGCCCAATAGAGGGAAAAAATAGAAAACATTAACAGATTACATTTTTGGACCGTTGCTTCACAACGCTCCAGTGTCCAAATACAAATGGCAATATAACTTGGGCCCCGCTTTTCCTGAAACTGGAGCGGGATATGATTAAACTCCTAGTACTGTGCGTAGTATAAAATCAGTACCACGTAACTTGTTTCGCTACACAAATCAAAGTGCAAAATATCAAGATTATAACTTTTAAGGTGAGTTTGATTAATAGATTATGTATCTTTTGAATGATTATCACTAATTTTGCTTATGTAGTACGTATCTTTTTTGTTTAAAAGCAAATGGGAGTGGCAAGGGATAAGCTATCATCACATTGGTGGTGGTTTAACAGGAACAAGAATAACACCCAAAACCGGTCGCCGTGGCTTCAATCAACTCTAGCCGGTGAGATGAGAAACTATACTCCCATCTTCTTCCTCTTATCTGTCTCCCTACAGGCTACAAATCAGGAAAGTAGTTTATTATCTTGCTTTAGTATTAACAACTGATTGCCTAATTATAAGGTGGACCTATTTAGAGTCCCTTTTGGCTAAAGAGCCAATACTTTTAAGAATACTTGATGCTTGTTAGTAATGTGACAACAAGTCAACTAGTTTTACAGCCTGCCGCAACCCCCCTCCTTTATCCGAGTTTAGGACCAGCAATGTGAGCGCGGAGTTGTTGTTGCTGTTGTATTCATCAGCAACATTTAAGATTGCTCGTGCCTTAGTATTATGCCAAAACTTTCTCTTTTTTTTTTGAGTTGCAGTAACCAAAAAAAAAAACGGGCAGCTCGGTGCACGAAGCATCCCGCATTCATACAGGGTCCGTGAAAGAGCCGCACCCTAAGGGGTGTGATGTAGGCAGCCTACCCTAATGCAAGCATTAGTGGCTGATTCCACGGCTCGAACACGTGACCTAGGAGACAACTTTACCGTTGCTCCAAGGCTCCCCTTCTATTGCAGTAACAGAAATATTTTAGAATACCAAGGACTAGCAAAGTTTCTCTACTTGCTTCATGTAGCCTATAACTGTATATTGTTGCAGAACTGGATGAGAAGACAGAGGCAATGCTCATGATAATTGAGGAAGATGCAGATACCTTCGCCCAAAGAGCGGAAATGTATTACAAGAAGCGACCACAGCTCATTAACATGATGGAGGAAATTTATCGTGCCCATCAGTTGTTAGCTGAGGGATATGATCAAATCAAGCATACAACTGAGCCGCGCATTTTAGCATCGTGGCAGTCTCCATTGCCTTTCACAAAATATCCAGAGGACAAATTGATCAACTCTATGGAGAAAGCCTATGACAGCTATTCAGAATCCTTTGACCCTGAATCGGAGTCTTCTGATCTATCAGAGATCGAGGATCCTGATAACGACGAAGAAGAACTCCAAATCCCAGTACAGAAGGCGAAAGTGGATGTATCAAGTGGCCTTAGCCTTAAAACTGATGAAGTACCGAATCTGAGGGAGGAAATTGAGATACTGAAGGAAGAGAGTAGAGTTCAACAAGAGCTTCTAATGCAGAAAGATGAAGAGAAAAGAGAAGCAATCAGACAGCTTTGTATAGCTTTAGATTTGCTGAGGGAGGAAAACAATAGGCTGAGGATGAGCGTAGCTACGACTTCTCCGAAAAAGGAAAACTCCATTGAGCTCAAGGCATCAAAGAAGGGGTTCTGGAAAAGGCTCTTTAGCTGATCTCCTAAATCAGAGTCTGCAATTGTTACTAAATGCAACTGATCAAGTACTAGTAATTTAGCTAGAATATGTAGAAAGACATACTCAAAAATTATACTTCATTTGTGTAGTATTATACCTCAGAAATTATTCTTGATATTCTTTATAGTATAGCAAAATTGACATGTATAATAGTGTATGTCAGTTTCATTTTAATATTCTTTTGTTGGGCATATCAGCTGTGTTCATAACCCCTCAAACAGAGAATAGAAAAGCATGAATTCTTTATACAAAGTGGAGAGTCATTGTTTTATTCCCTTCTTATTTGATGCAAGAATCGTAATACATCTCAATTAACTTAGAAATGAAAATGTCATACGCCAAACAATGAATTCTAATGTTGCACCAAATGATTATGTACTCTGAAAAAGCAAATTAGCATGAATATACTGTAGTACATGGGCATAGAAGAGGTGTGAAATTTTATAACCAATAAACTATACCAGAATGCAGCAGCCATTAGGACATTTACAAAGCAAAGACCAGAATTGCACAAAAAAATAATGGTAGAGGAACTGCAGAGTAAACTGGCAATGACCCAGAAGGCTGAAATGGCATGAGAGATTCAGGAGCAAGCATAGCATCTGGATTTGGTGGGCTGAGACTAGAAGGTATAGTGGGTAGTGAAGAATCACTAGGAGCAATTTCCGAGCCACCGGGCGAAGGAAACAGAGGAGATATATCTGGAGAAAGTGCAGGAAATGGAGGTGAAGATAATGGTGGATTTGGCAGCAATGCAGGTGCAGCTGAAATTGTTGAAGCTAACACCTTTCTTAGAGAAGTTTTCTCAAAGGCTAAACAAGAAGAAAAAGATTGGCAGACCAAGAAAATCATGAGTAGAATCAAGAATGGCTTTTTGGAAGTGAAAGCCATAAATGATGATGAAATGAATGGACACCCTTTTGCCTATTGTTGGCACAGAAATAGTAAAGGTATTATCTTTGGTGGAAAGAATGAAAGAAAGAATGACAGAGTTGGTATTATGATTGAATTGAAGGATTATCAAGAAGAATGTAGTTAGGGAATGGTCTAAGAAGACAGCTTGGAATGTATTGGCAATAGGACAAGATTGGTGAATGGTTATTGTTTGTGAAATCACATGAGGATGAATAGGAACTTATGTGTCCTTTTCCTCAGTGGCCTTTTGTTTCCATTCATAGTCTATGGAATTTTCTGTATCTGACAAACCATTTTCAAATTGCGTCTGCCACCTCCACCCAACTCCACCATCTCCATCTATTTGGATGATTTTTGTTCCACCCTTGATAGTTGATTAGTTGAGACTCTACACTTTATAGGGTAAGGAAAAGTGGAATATGTACCTACCTCAATATATTGGGACTGTGTTGTGCAAATTCTCACATCCTCTGTGCTTCTGGTATCTCGAGACTCTTATCTTCAAAAGAAATTGATGGTGTAAAATGTGCTTTAGTAACTTGAAAGATATGATAAATAAGTAAGCACGTTTAGGAATTTGGAATTTTATGTGAGTTGGAGTATGTTCTACAATGTGCAGCCAAACATGAAAAGGTAGGTAGGTACCTACTACAGAACAGTTCGATGACCTTTTGAGCTCATAGGAATGTGATGTGGCCCACACAGGGTTAAGAAAAACGGTCTTTTTTTTTTTTTTGGTATCCAACCCTAGACTCGAACTCGAGACCTCTGGTTAAGGATGAAGGAATACTTATCACTCCACCACAACCCTCGTTGGTAAGAAAAAACGAATTAATACACCATCTGATCTTACTCTTCATTTTTATAAAATAAAAACTATAGAGACGTTATATTCAAAATGAAACTAGTTCTGCTGCCTAATAGAACTTATACAGAAGATCCGAAAATGATTTGGAACGACCTTTAAACATGTTTCAGACCAAAGATTACTGTTTTTTTTAAGGAGAGGCCAGAGGGGGGAGGAAAAACTGAAAGAACAAAAAGAAAAAAACAAAAGTACTGAATTAAATTGGAAGCTCCTTTATTAATTGTTACATATATTGAATTGTGTGAATGGTTAGAAAACCTCAAATCACATCTTTTCTCAAAATTTTCCTAAAAAGAGATGCTACAGCCTTAACCTGAAAAAATAAACCTCAGAAATGATGCATACTTTAATGTGCAGGGCCATGCACTTTCATTTCATTCAAAGGCAATGGCCACCAGCACCTTGATTTCAACGGGACAGTTCTTTTGCGTCATCAATTGTATCATTTGCTACATAATTGCTTGCTCACTTTGCTGCCAATCTTGTTACAAACCCAGAAGCCAGCCAAGTAAAGCACTCGTGTGTAGAGTCTCAATGCAGGTATTGCCTGGTCATCTGATTTCTTTCCCCTCAAGTAACCAAATGTGACATAGATCTTTCACCATCAAAATAACCATCTTAGGCATGAAAACTTTGAAAGAATGGCTGGCTTCAAGTGAGAATCTGGATCAAGCTTCATTGGTTATGTGATGAAGCCCAAAGAAGCCCTTCAGAGCCAAATTCCAAGTTAGAAACTCGACTATCACCAAAGTTCTGTTGATTGGTTGCTTCACTTTGTTCTATGGAATCAACATATGCTCCCATAAGATCGGATGATCTTTCAGCTGGAATGCCATAGTCTTTGAGAATACTAGAAGAGGCGTCTAGGGCTGCCTCCCTTTCGAGAACGACCAAAAAATTGTCTTCAAATTCAAACACTAAATATTTGCCTTTGCAAGCTGCACGAAGACAAATTTGTAACTGCCCCAGTTCAACGAGAACTTAAACTATATATATATATATATATATATATATATATATATACTATATATATANACACGCCTGAAAACCCATAAGCCGTTGTATTCCCTCTTAAGCATCCAAAAAGTACCATAACCGAGATATCCACTCTAAAGAAATCTTCTGTGAATCGAAAACTGTTTTCCTTCACCTTTCTGAATGCTGAAATGTAGAATCCATAATGATATAGAAATAATTTTTGAATATTCAAATTTTAATTTAAAAACATTAAGGTAACTAATACAGTTTATCTTTAAAGATTAGTCAATAGACTCAATAATTAAAAGCCTAGTCGACATCTTATAAGCATCAAGGTGAAGAATCTAATCTCCGTAATTTAAATGTAGATTTCATATCTCATAAGTCATAAAAATTTCTCCATTTTCTCCTATTGATGAACTCACTTAAAAGTAAGGGTGTATTATGGGGCGAGCCCGGGACTGTTTGGTCTTTGGCGATCTCGGGCCAAACGGTCCTAATGTGTGGAACCGGCCCACTGTGGGCCTAAGACCACATGGTCACGGGCTAAATGTGCCGGGCCCACGGGCTAAACGGGCCTAATGAGCTTTTTCGTTCCGGGTTATTTTTTTTTGAATTTTTTTTGTCTAAGGCAATTTCTTGTAAACTATATATATATATATATATATATATATATATATATAACTATATATATATATATTAACACTTACAATCCACTAGATGAGCCAAATGGTGAATGTTTTTAATTTGGGTGCCATTCAACTTCAAGACCTGCCAATAAATTGAAAATTGAGGCTTCACTGAAGAAGTATACAACAACAATGACTACATCTCATTCCAATTATTGTTTACAATTCAACTGGTAGGATTGTAACATAAAAGTGAACATAAGTAACTTGCCTGCTCATTGCTCATATCCTCATACCCAATATTTACTTCATTCGCCAAGACCTACAAGCAAAATAAATCATTGAAATTAGAATTATTTTACGTAGATTAACCTCACAGCATCATCTAGAGGTGACAAAATGGGTAAGCAAGTGATAAGGTAGACTCGACCCCAAGGGTGATAAATGGCAGGCTAAAACCCATTTGACCTTAAATCATCACCCTTAGGTTATGTCCCCTGTTCCTGTTCCCCCACCATGGCCCAGGGATGGGTATGTCCTACTTTCATGTCCAGTAATGAAAAGAGAAAGGATCTATTAGTCACTCTATCTGCCAATCAATTTACAAAGGCCAAAACTTACTCCATACATACCTGGGATAGTACAACAATCTGCTGCCCTTCGAACTTGGCCAAAGAGTATCGAGCCTTGGTCAATAGTTTCAGCTAATAAAATTAAAAGAAAACAATCAAGACAACAAAGTATTTCTAATCATTGACTCATCAAAACAAAGAAACAAAAAGAAAAATAAAATAGTTCCAATTATAGTGAGTAATCATCGTTTTTGTCAAGACTCACCCCAATGCTATCTTCTTCTTCCCTGCCAAATAAAGTATGAAAGTTTTGTTATCAGAGGGAGAACACTTATACTAATACGTACTTGAAAACTAGCAGATTGCTAGCTCCATATAACAATAAGAAGAACTCTGGCAAATCTTACTCTATTAGTGGTTCGGATAGTGGTGTAAATACCAAGCCTGCAACTATTAGGTATGAAGGCTGACCACCTTCTATATGATAAGGAACCTTCAGAGGAGAGCAAACATATCTAAATAAATTAAACTGAGATTCAAGTGATGGGTCAACAAAAAGACTGAGGGTCAGCTAAAATTTCTTTTATACCAAATGCACACGCGGCTTCAGAACTGCTTGAGCTTTCATGAATTCTCCCTCTCTTATAATACCAAGCTCAACTGAATCACCACTGAATCTGAAAAGGAAACAACAGTTTTGTAAGATACACAGTAGCAAGTGCATACTTAATAAATCGACATGCAGGACCATCATTGATATGGAAGATTGGGAAATTCTGGAGTTTGATATCAAGGATTCAGTGAATATTAGCATTAGTCTGATATCCATTTCAAGATCATCAAGGAAAGAGAAATGGATCCACCAGGAGAAAAAACAAAAAAAGACTATTCAGCCCTCACAGTATAAAAAATGATAAGCATTCCCTGCTAGCTTTGGCAGATTTAATTTAAGGGCAGAAACTTATGTGGAAAAGACAAAGGGGGAAGTGGTGTCCTGAAAATTGGTAATCATTACATGAACTAACCAGTCTATGAGTTTGCCATTCAAACTGAACATTAAGTGCATAATGTTTGTCAAACGTATAATAAGTAAATAAAAAAGATGTTTGTCAAACATACTAATGTCTTTAAATGAAAATTTAACTTCCTTGCAAGTAACTGAACTTTACTTTTGACTAATGAGATAGCGAAAAGCTATACGTTCACTTGATCGAAACGGCACTGTTCCTTCAGACCCAACATGAACACCATCAAAGCTAACAATGACGTCGCCCTGAAAACAGTACCAAGTATCATTTGACTTAGTGACATTACCAAAATAACATGCCTGTGAAACAACTAAATCCAAAAGAAATTTCCTAGTAACTTAACACAATAAGAATGGAGAAATCAAGTAAATCAAATAGACATGTGACATGAATCCAGATACCGACAGAATATCCATGTCACCTAACTCATTTTCACACCTTAAAGCTTCATGTCTTGAGATCACTTGAGTTCCAGCACCACATCAACGGTGCATGTTACTCGATGTTGTGAAAATAGCAATTAACGAAAAGAATGTACAAACTATGACTCGAGTCCCTAGTCCATATTCAATCAATGAATTACACCAAAATCCCAAACTAGTTGGGTTTGGCGTTCGGAATCTTCCATATTCATTATGCTCTATTTGGGAAGACGTCCTTAGTTGATATTGGTTTCAAAAAAAGTTACCTGCTAAAAGGGAAGGAGGACGTCAAAACTATATCCAGGGGCGGAGCTAGCGCTTTGGTTACGGGTTCAGCCGAACCCAGTAGCTTTGGTCCAAACCCCATATTTGTATTAAGAAATCCATTGAATATGTACAATTTGTTAATTTAGAACCACTAACTTAAAAGAACTAAATTTCCGAACCCATAAGCTTCAAATCCTGGCTTCCCCTCTGACTATATTAAGCAAACACACACTTGTTCTAAGAAGAAGAGAAAAAAGGACAGCCCGGTGCACAAGGCGTTCCGCGTTCATGCAGCGTCCGGGGAAATGCCGCACCCCAAGGAGTGTGATATGGACAGCCTACCTTAATGCAAGCATTAGTGGCTGCCTAAGTTGCTCCGACACAGCAGTTAAGGTGCCGCACCCGTGTCGACATGACACTAGTATGGGTATGGGTATGGGATCCGTACCGGATCTGGTCAAACAATTTTGGTGCTTTGACCACGATGGACGAAAAAATTCCATACGAGATACAATTTGATTCCCGAAATCAGAACCAAAACTAGAGTAAATTTGAAGAAAATAGCATACCTTATCTAGGAAATCAATCATTTACTTATCCACAACTTGAGAATAAAAAAGAAATCCATAGTTTACAAGCTATACGTAAATATTCCACAAAATTTCTCATAATTTAGAGATATTTTTATTTTTTTTAATTATTTTTACCAGATCCCCGCACCTATATTTGTACTAGAATCCATATCCCCGAATTTTAGAATTTACATCTTGAAGGATCCGACCTCTAGATCCGTACCCGTGTTGGATACCCGCACCCATGTCCGAGCAACTTAGGTGGCTGCTTCCATGGCTCAAAGCCGTGACCGATGTTGGGCCCCCATTTATAGTGTCCACGCTCTAGTTTGCAGGCCTGGGCATGAGGGGGGTGTTGAGTTGTCCCATATCGGTGGGATTTGAGCTCCTTGGTCTTCTTATATGGTTTTGAGCAATCCTCACCTCATAAGCTAGCTTTTTGGGGTTGAGTTAGGCCCAACACGGAGACAATTTTACCGTTGCTCCAAGGCTTCCATTCACACTTGTTCTAAAAAGAACAGAATAAAATGACTAAATCAAGTTAATTGACAAAAATGGATGGAAAAGAACTGAAGCACATTCAGTTGCATAAAATAGATGCCTGAACACCATGACTTCCAGGGAGCTTCTCATAATAACAAAGACCTTTTGTTCAGTTTCAAAAAATAACAAAGACCTTTTGTTTTAGCTCCTCGGCTAATCACTGTTTGTCATTACCCAGTCAAATCAAATCTCTTTCTTATGGTCCTTCCATTTACAGGTTGCAGTTTAAGGGTTAAACGTTTCGAAAACTTTGATAAGTGAAACAAAAAATACCATTAAGCTGAGACTCTCTGGACTAGATTAGCTGTCATTATCAGAATGGAGCTACCAAGTGCTGTCAATAGTGCAAAAAAATCATGTAACAGTAAAATGAAAAATAGCCTACTGAAATAAAGAATAAAAATACCTCTTTCAAGACATTACTGACATCCGAAGTGGGCTCAACTTTCCGGACAAGTACACCCTATGAAACAAAAAACCCTGTATTAAAAGAGGACGTCTCGAAGCATTATACAAGTATGTAGATTTTCCGCTCAAACTACTGAGTAATCACTGCACATCTCTGTCTCAAAACACATTACTGCCAAGCTGGATTCAGTTGAATGAATATAGAATGGGTTTGCTTTCATATAGAACTATTTGTTTCACCATGAGGCATAAAGTAGTATTAAGAAAACGCTAAACTGATAGATGCACTTGGTTGGCTGGTGGTATAACATAATTCCATGACATCTGGTATAGAGGAGTTGACAGCATTAGAGACCAGAAAGCAGAAGATATTGTAAATGCTGCTTCATTCAGGATGACTTCCTCTAGAAATAAAAATCAGTTAACTATTAAAAAGTTCACCAATGGTGATTCATTATCAAGAATAGTTAGCTTTATTCAGCTCAATCCATGCCCATAAATTCAAGTTTTCACACGCTTAAGCCTAAGGATGCCTTCCACATTTTCTTTAAATCTGTGTATTCTAAATGATAAGTGTATATGTATTTTAACAGGTAAGTGTATGTATGCATAATCAAAAAGAAGTTATATTAGTCAATGCCCCACTTTTCCCATGTATATATGACCAAATCCAAAGATTCAGTTCTGACATTTGCTGAACTCTAGCCACAGCACCTCAGCACCACCATCTCTTTATAGAACCATAGACACCAAATCATCCTCTCTTTCACAAAAAGTACCTGTAGCTGCTGTACCGTTCTTTCTAGCATTAATAGAGTGGTCAAGGGCTTCTACTGCAAAACAAGAACATATAGATACAAAACAAGAGCTAAATGAAAAGGAAAAGGGCTTCACCTGGTTCATAAAAAGAAACTCTCTCTCAATCTTGCCCCCCCTCCCCCCCAAAACCAACTCCCCACAAAAAAAAAGAGCTCAACCTTTCCCTCCGCCATCTCCTAGTCGAGTTGCCTAATACCCAATTCAGAAGGTCCAATCTTCATATAACCCTCTGATTTTTACTTGGCTCATCACTGCTCAGTAAGATTCACTGGAACCAACATAATCTAGGCCTCATCAGGAAAATGCAGTTTAAGAAAGAATGGGGAATGACTCCCAGTCAGCAAGATGTTTAGAAGGATGATTAGTTAAATTGTCAAATGCAAAGCCTTCTGCTCCATATTAGATTGTATAGCTCAAGATTTTGTACTTAAAATGTCAGTTTCTATGAGTGGAAGTTTCGCAACGAAGGAATTTCCGCCCAAGCTCTCCTTTCTGGATGTCAAAGACCAGGTTTATACCTTATTAAATGAACATTTTTGAAATTGTTTCTTCTGAGGTACAGTTGAGACCAAACTCAGAATTGAGTGGGCTTTCACCTAAGTTCAAAGTACTGCAATTTATCAGATGACAAATTCCAGCCAAAAACGCATAAGCTTTTAAGCTCATGAATTAGGATCCCAGTCTGCAAAGACTTCATGAATTAGGAGTCCAGCTGTTCAGTGTGGGCTGGGATCAGCTGAGAGTACATTTCTCAATAGTATGCCAACCCATGTGTAGTATCTTAGGATAAGCAGTACGGCAGTACCATTATTTCTGTCATCAGCTGCCAAATTTTTTATTGATAAATGAATTCACCAATAACACACAAAAAGGAGAAAGAAAGAAAAAAAAAAAG